TTTGGGCAGCGGGCGTCAGCGACTCACCTTATTTGAGGCTTAAGGACGGCGATTTTGGTGTCGGATGGCGCGAAAGAAAAATGGACACCACTACGCTCATCCTCCTCGAGCATTTTCGGATTTCAGTGCGCATGCGAGGCAATAAAAATGATCACTTGTTTCCATTTCTGTTGACCAGTGCAACTGCTTAAAGTCCGGTCAATAAATTCGTCTTCAAACTGTTGTAGACATGCTTTAAATTCGTGCACCCACTTATTGTGTGTAAGTTAACAGGCAACGCTTTATCAAAGCCTAGCATAGACCGAGATTCATCGTCCAAGACCTGACCAACAGTGGGTCACGAAGTGCACTCTGTTTCTCCCAACGCTAAGGACGAGTTAATCACACTGCTGATCAGCCGCTCGTGGCCGAATGGTTAATTGTTCAAACTACTAGCCAGGAGGTCGCGGGTTCGAGACTCTCCGGAATTTCGTGAGATGCGCACTGCTGATGATTCCCAATAAGGATGAAACAGCTGTACAGTGCTTCTCGGCTTTTCAGCACAGACTGGCTTCACTTACAGGACGAAATCTCCACACAAAAATATCAAATCTCCTCACACTACCAACAATCTATAAGTAGCTCAGTGGAAGAATAAAATTCACCCGATGAGTGGAACTTCCTCTGAGAAATCGTTGCTCGAAGAGCCAGTCAACACGTGTGACCGCGTGATGTGGATCCCGCGATTGAAGGATGAGCGGCGCTATACAGTGTTCTACGGATTGATGAACAGGGAGGCCATTGGTGTATGCCATCAACACATAGAGGTAAGTTATGCAAAAGCGACCCGAACAGCGGAGTGTGAGGCACTCGTTAGTCGGAGGTCACACGGTTCCAAGCGAATGAACGGTGACCGAAAAAAGTAATGCAAAACGCAATGTACGGTTCGATGAATTTGTGTGGAATACAACTTTCCGACCAACCGGGAATTTGCACTTTATCTACAAAGACAGCTGTCAGATGAGGACAAACCGGTACCTCGCCGCTGTCGCTCATGTTTGCCACAGAGAGGAGACAATACACCAATAAAATATTTATCTATTCGACAGAATTTCAGAGTTTCAAGGGAGACTGGAGATCAACTCGAGATCACTGACTAGAGTTTTTTCCACTGGTGATCGTCACGATACTTTGTGACGCAAAAATGATATGAATCTTTTGAGCTGAATGGTGCTTATATCAATCGAAGTGCGTGATGAGATGAACGGATTTCGAATAAGCAAGTAACATAATTACCGAATTCTGATTGGTTGCCGGAGATCAGCAACCAGATAATTGGCGAACATCCGAAAACAAGCCACTTAAAATAAGGGACCCCAGATTTCTGTTAGGACTGCCATCTGTGGATAGGCCGTAACGACGCCCAATGAAACCCACCATCTTCCTCTCATAAGATCGATTTTGTCACCCCAAATTGCACTGTTTTCGAGAAATACACTCATTTGCAAATCAATTTGGTTCTCATGGGAGACTCAATTGAATCTCTCGTTTACGATGTCCTCCAGCTGAATGTGCTGCACATAGGCCGCCTCATGATTCAGTTTGCACGATATTCGAGATATCGCAGTATATTTTCATAAGAGAAACTACTCACAAGGTTGCTGAGAACTCTTGGACAGCCCACGACCGGGTTCGCTCTTCGTGAGGCCCGTCAGATAGGCGCAGTCCCCGAGTTTCCGTCAACCTTATGATTCCTGTTAATTGTACAAAATGGAGGGAAACCTACGTCCGAAGGGCCACGCGACAGCTTGACGCGTAGATGCCTTCTAAACAGCTCGAAACGTGGTTGACCTTGCTGAACAGCAGAATAGTCCTGCTACTAATAGACAAGTGCTACGGTTTACCTCACCGAGCTTAGCTCTTCCACACATCACGGGATAGTTGCTCGTCATTCATACATCAGTCACCAACTGGAATGCTAGCGGAGACAGATTATACGTAATTGGCCTTCCTTGTCTAAGAAGACATTTCGTACATGACGAGTTTGCCATTGCATAACTAGGAGAATCGAGTCCAACTGCTACCGCACTGCATGGCAGTATAAATGTTATCCTGGAGTGGCATGATCCCATGACAGGAGCGGACACTACAGTAAGGGCTACTTCCAGTGGAGAGGGTCACTTTTGGCAGTATACAAGATTTTGTTGGCTTCCAACACCAACCCAGATAAGCCTGAGGGAGAATGCGAATTCCAATGAGGTATTCCTGAGAAGTTGGATGTTAAGAAAATGAACAGACAGTACCCAGTTTGCTGAGGAGCCAAGAGCAACAACTTGTGGTAAAATTCAGCGGCACAGTTCTCTCCACACTAATAGTGTGATACGAATTCAGTCAGCAAACACCCTCGCAAGTGTAAACTCTTAGGCTGTCTTTAAAACGGCATACTGATGTGGGTTGGAAGGGATTACCCTCGCCCTTCGAAAAGAGGTCATCGCTCAGAAGAGGTGTAAATTATTGCTTCCCGTGATGGTCTGTCGTCGGGGGATCACTGAAACAGTTCAGACCACATAAGCTGTTAACGCTCTGGAATCAGCCAAACAGGAGTTTCAGTGCCAATCAGTTTACGGCTTCCTGGGGGCTTTGTTATTTAGCCAAAGATGAACGCAGGGCTACCGAATTTGAAGGATCACCCTGAGAACTGAGTCGTCCTCGCAAGTTGTTTTATTGTGTCGGTAGTAGGCGGGTCCCCAGGGAAATCAGTTTGAAAAAAAAACAGCTACCTTTTCCGACTTAAGTCAATTCCATATATAAATATATATGCCTAGCTGCCATGGCACCCGAGGAGAGCACGAGGGTTGGGATACTGCCAGCCTGACCAAGCCTAGACAGGGGAAGTCGAGTGGCAGAGGCTGGGTTCGAACCACGTACCCTCCGGTTA